ACTGCTTCTCCTCCACAGCAACAAGCTGCTTTATTTCACAACACAGCAGGAGGTGCTATCAACCAGCTGCAGAATTCTCCTGCTTCGTCCCAGCAAACATCAGGAATATTCCTGTTTGGCATTCAAAACAGTAAGTGATAGATGCTCAATTCTGAGTTTACAATTTAGAAGAGCTACTTGTTGGAGTCCACAAGACAATGATTGCTCAATTCTAAGATTTTTTTTTTTTAAAAAAAAAATCTGGAATAAGTAATGTTGCACTACAATTGAGAATATAGATACTCATCATGTTGCTCTGAATGTTGCTGATTTTGCATGAGAACTCTTAGCTTAAATACCTGTTGGTCGTTTTACACTTAGGATTAACATGTGACAAAACCACCTTAGAATTGTGTATATATATTTACAGAAATAAGTGTGTATCTGTATAATATATATAAAATATTATTAATAAAACATATACAAATAATATATATAATATATAGAATACATGTATGCACATGTTAAAAAAAAAGGGTTATGCCCTCTTAAAACAGCTCCACTAATCTTTCTCTTGCTATGTTTGGTTTCCAAAATTTATGCAATGGCTTTCTCCAAATTGTTGAAGAAAAGCAAAGATTTTTGAAGCTGTGTAGTCCAGAAAAACATCTTTTGAAGTGTATTTGAAACCTCTTTAACTTTATAAGCCTGCACTTTTCCACATCTCATCTCTGCATCTAGCCTCTACGACAAATTCTTTGGGATGTTGATCTTTTCATCTCTCTCTACATATCTGTGAAGCTCCAGAAGTAACAGGTGCAGATGATTTACAACAGCTTGTAAAAGACCTGGACAGAAAGCCGTAGCTGTGTGCTTAGTCTGTGGTTAGACCTGAATATGTGCTTTGCTGTATGAACTCTTTGGTGATCAGGCCATATACAGCCAAGCCTTTCCATGAAGCTGAAGATAATGCTAATGGTAGGAGATGAGACACAATTCGCAGATTTCTAGAAGGAGCTAGTGGATACCTTGGCTGAACCAAAAATGACACATCTGTAATTAAGACAGATAAAGGGTTGGGCATATTCAACACTTCTCTTAGGCTATGTGTTTTGTTTTTCTTCTAGCTAAGTGTTATCCTCTCAGGTGTTAATAGCATTTGGTCATAATACGGCATCTATATATTCAATGTGTATACCTCGAACCTCTGCTTCTACCCTGAGGGAGTGGTGGGCAAAGGTGATCATGTGAACAAAAGTGCGTGTAACTTTCTACAGAGTTTATAGTCAATGGATATATATAAAGGAGTTGGCTGATTCACTGCTTGTATTAACCTAATTTAAATGGTCCTTTGTTCTTCACTTACTGCTTAACAGACTGTGGCCAACTGCTGACTTCTGGACCAGCCACGTTGCCGGATGAGTTGATGGCTATAAGTCAGCCAGGTCAGCCACAGAGCGAAGGACAAGCAGCAGTGCCAGCGCTTCTCTCCCAGCAGATATCTGAGACTTCTCCACTACCTTCAGCTATGGCAACTAATCAGAACATTGAGAAAATAGATGATCTGCTTGTGTCGTTGCAAAACCAGGGGAACAATATGGCTGGCTCATTTTAACTAGTCAAGTAAGTAACGTGTTTGGGCTTCTTTTGTTCAGTAAGTCTTTCCTTGGGAGTGTATCACCGTGCTTTAAGAGGTCAGCTGAAATACCAGTTATGCTGAATTAAGAATACAATACCAGTGGCTGGAATGAAAAGTTATTAAAAACAGTCAGAGGTCAGAATTTGTGTGAAACAGTTGAGACTGAATCTTCTTGTTCAATTGCTGTATGTTTTGTCATCTGCTGTTACAGTCTAGTACTTTATTAGGAAGGAGAGTAGATTGCTGACAACTTGGCAGATAAGAGTTACGAAATGCGGCTGTAGTCAAAAACTTAAGGCTTGTTGAGTAAATAACACCTCAAGTCTGTGGTATTCTGAAGTTGCCCCCTGGGTTACAATAACATAATGTGAAAACAAGTTTCAGTAGAATGTGGCGGCTATTGAGAGTGTGCCACATGCTGAGTCCTTGGTAAAACTGAGCTGACATGATCAGCTGTTACTAGGAAACATTCTGCTTTTAGAAGGTGCCTTTTTCAGAGAGGTGAAAGAGGCTTGGACTACAAATGAGTACCAAGAACCAGGAGGACTCTGGAATCTAGTATTGTCCACAGTGTGTAATTTGGCTCTAGTTAACTGTGTTGCTGTCCTAAATCCTCCATAAATTTCACTTAAGTGATACACTGCATTTTTCTAATCTAAACTGTTTCATATATGAAGCTATGAACTTAAAAAAAAAATAATTAGAAAACCACTTTGAAGATGAAGGAACTACACAGAAGTAAGAGGATGACTTTTGTTAGTTATGCCTAACTTGCTTGCTTGTTCTTTCCTACAGAAATGCTGTGAAGAAGAAAGTGATGATTCCCACCTTGTCTCAGACCTTCCAACTCTGGATTAGGTTGTGTGGAACTGATTGCTTCTGTCAAAAACTGGCCCTCTTCTCTAAAGAGCACACACGTGGCCAGTTGCAGTGTCTAGCACCTAAGGCTACGACCATAGTATTTGGGATTTGTAGTGCCAATAATGCTGAAAAGCTATGCTTTGTTTTACTAGGGCGTGGGATTGTACTGTTACCAGATTCCTGAACCTCATTAACAGTGGGGTGCTCTTTGAATTGAAAGCATATCTGGTCAGTTATTATTGTTGTTAGAAGGTAATACACATTACCACGTTTACTTTTTTCCTTCTCTTCCTTCTTCACATCCCCTCTTTTGACTAGAAAAGCTTGTGAAGCAGAAACACGGAATGCCTGTGACGTGAGCTGTGAGTCGCAGCTCTCCGTAAGCAAAGGGATCGCGTGCGTTACAGCTGAGTGGGAGCGCTCGTACTGCGGTTTGTTAATTGCAGTAGGCGGCAATGAAAAATAGCGATAACTGTAACAAACGAGCAGAGAGTTGCTTGCTGCTGTAGATAGCCAGAGGTGGGTGCTTCCCATCTGAGAACGTGATTAACGGTTTTCCATGTCTCTTATGCGTGACTGTACATAGAGCAAGGGTTTGGGGGCTTTAACAAAATGAAGAAATGAAGGGGAACTTTCAATTAGATTTTGCTCTTAAAATCTTACCCTCTAAAATGCCTTCAGCTCAAAAAGAACATCCTGCCTGGCTGAGGAAAGAACTCCTCTGTGTCTCTCACTCTGAGTGTATGGGTTAGACCTCTGTAAAGCTGCATTAACCGTTCTGAAACCAGCCTTCTCCCTCTCATTCTTTTCATGGTTTTCTTTTGCTGTCCCTCAGTTTCATATTGCCTTTCTAAAAAAGACCTAAATATCCTACTGGCTTTAAAGATCAGAAGCAGCTTTTAGGAATCTGTGGCATTAAATTGCTTAGTCAGTAGAAGCTTTGACAAATAATCAAGGATTAAGGAGAGAGGAAGCAATTTCTCCACCACCTTCTAAATGCAGGAATCCCCCTTGACCAGTCATTTTCCTGCTGTTACTGATGTAAATCTTCAGCTTGACTTTACTCCAAGTAGGGGGCAAATTACATCATTTTTAAGCATTCTTGAAAATTTCACTTCATCCTGAGCTGTTGCATCTTTGTAGCATATTAAGCTCATTGCGGTTTTGAAGTGATTTCTTTTTTTGCTACCAACAGTCCCCCAAGTCTAGAGTTTCTAGATTGTCATGTTTCAATTAAAAAAAAAAAAAAATAAAAATTGACTGATGTTACCGAATGTAAAAACAACCCACTCCAGACCATGCAGTTGTATTGTGAGGCATGTGAATTTTTTGGGTGCTCCAACTATCCGGATGGTTTTGGAATATCTCACTACAGCCTCCTTCAGATCTTTGTTTCTTCTCCTTCTGCACGTAGAAAGCTGTTGCTGCAGTTAGAGCCAAACAGCTCTCATGTATGGCTATTATGCCTTGGTAGAGTGTAGTTGGTATCACGTCATTTTTCATTTTTGTTATTTTGAATAACAAAGAATAGTCTGTAAATGTTTTTTTTTTTTTAAGTTACTCTAGTCTGTTTACTGTGTGTTTTTTCCCTGAACTTGTGTGCTTAGTTGAGCCGTGTAGAGTTTTGTTTGTTGTAATGGATTTTCCCGTTTGTCAGTCTGTCCTAACGTTCACTTTCTCTTTTCTGTCTCTCTTTCTCTCTCTCATTGAGAGGCATTGAATTACGTTTTCAGTAGTAAGGCTTCTTGCCGATATGAAGGGAACTTTTCAGAAAGAGACCTGCTCTGGGTCATTTAATTTTGAATACAGTTTTCAATCGTTCAAGTTTTGGATGGTTTATATCTAATGTGTGTTTCATTTTTTTGGAAAGCTATATTTTGTATTTAGGAAATGGTATACTATTTTGCTATTTGTACTGAGTGAGTACATTGGCATAAATATAAAAATTTATATATATACATATATATAAAATATTCTTTTTGCCACACATTTTTGTGGTAAATTTGTGAGTTTGTCTGATGTTCTACCACAACGTGGCGTCTGATAACAGTGGGGTGGGGTGGGGTTGTTACGTCTCTGTTGAGTATTTAAGTACTTTTTGCAACATAAATAACTTGTTCATCTCTCCCCATTCCATCAGGCAATTTATTATTCCAACTGGCTATGAGAAGCTTCACTGTGTGTTTTGGTGTGTCTGTCACTCAGCAATACGGTCTAGTAGGGAAACCCGTAGGCATTTAGGTGTATCTCAGATAACGGGGTTTCATTCAGAATGAGCCATTCAGCTTTTATCCACTATCATTGTCTATTTAATATTTTATTATTAGCGCCTCTGTGTTTTAACTCTTAATTTATGATTATGCTAAAATGTTTAAAACGTTAATCATGATAAAAAGAATTCCTTGCTTCATAATGTCCAGAGCTGCTTTAACCCTGAACCGTACTTCTGCTTTCTGTGATTTCTTTCCTTTTTTTTTTTTTTTTTTCTCCTCCTAAGACAAAATATTAACAAAATCTTGTTATGGTTCATGACATGAAAACAGCAGTCTTGACTAAGTGCTGTAAGAGGCTATGTAGAAGACTGAGAATAGTGGACCGAAACAACTTCCAGATGGTCGTGGAAGTCGATAGCCAGTTATGTGAAAATGAACTGGTGGCTTTTGCAGGATCGCAGTCCCAGGACAAGCTGTTGGGTGTCACCTGGGGCCTTCATACACAGAATAAGTAAGAGGAATGATAAATTCACTTGTGTGCTACTTCAGTTTGTTCCATTATTCCAAAGGGGTGTATCCTTACGTTGAAGTGCTGTTGGTCAGTGCCAAGTCACCAGGGACCAATTCTCCATTTAACAAGATGGGTGTCCGAAAGAGAACTTCATACCAAGACTGCTACAGCTCCAGGGGAAGAACATGTTTGAATTGTGTGCGTATTTTAGGTCGCTTATGAAGAGAAGAGCGAAAAAAAAAAAGTTAAAAAAATTAAATAAAAGGGCTGTGCTATCACATTTTTCACTTCTGGATAACACCTTTCCTTTCTTGTGTTAAATTTATCTTGTTCATTCTAGGTCAATGTTTAAATGTACAACACTTTGAACATGTGATTTGGTTACAAAAAGTATTCGTCTTATGAATGAAGAGATTGCTCAGCGGTTGATGAGTGCTTGAACTGCTGCTTGCAAACAGCTGTTACAGAGGATAAAGAGAGGTTTGATAAGCCAGGAAAGAGCGTAAAGACAGGCTGCAGGATGTCATGGCAGAAAGACCCAAGAACAGCGTGAGCCGCGTCTGTATTTTACCAGAGTCCTGAACATTTACTTTTGTAATTTAAGCAGTTGATAATTGGAGCTTACTCTGCGCTTTTTTTTTTGTTACCCCTGCGTTTACTCCTCTGCATGCTCACCTTGGCGCGCCCATTAGCCGCGAGCAGACGGAGTGCCTGCCTGCAGAGATGAGGTGGTGGCATCATGTCTAGTCCATTTTGGTTGAGAAAGTTAGAAGATACTGAGATATTAGTCTCTATAAAAGTTCGTGACATTATTGTAAAGGGGAAGTTACCATCATAGCCACAAGGCAGCAGTTAAGTATAGAAGATACTACTAGGTGAAAAATGAAAAGCTGTAGAGCTGCGTTGCTGGGATGGGTTTTCCGTTTCTTGTTTTTTTCTGCTGCTTGAGCTCGCTCTTAAAAGAATTGTTAAGTCTAAACCTCCATGTTAAATGTGGGTTATACTCTTCAGCTGTGGGTGCCTCCAGAGCACCCGTGGTCCACGCTCTGCACAGCATCCGTGGTGCACGGTGGTTTACAGAACAGCGGTTTGCTGGCACAGAGGAAAATCTGGGGAGGCGTACCTGCTGGCCACCAGCTGGGACTTCTGCATATATGCTCTTGTCTGTGTATACACTCTGTGTCTATGTGTCTGTGTGTGTCTATATATAAAAAAAATAAATCATACAAGTAACACATAGTACACAGTTATTAGCTAAACATCTCCTCTGGCAGGAAGTTATTGGTGCTTTGTGCGTAATTAGCAAGCCCATACTTTGTTATTAATTGCCTCTTCACTGTCTGATCTTTCAGCAGTTATTCAAGTGAAATGCTTTCCTATTATTTTAACATAAAAATAGTTCAAGAAATAATTTCGGCCTTGCTGTTTCAAAGTGGATGTTTAATCACCAATCATTTTATAATTACATTTAATTACTGACAGGGTGGTTGCTTCCTATGTAGTTTAAAGATAGAATAAAGCACGAACAGTTAAGTGTTTGTAACTTTGGTGTTTTTTTACTGGAAATACTAAGAGTCTGGGCAGCTGTATCACTGGACATTCCCCTCATTTAGATTAAGTCGAACTCTTTTTTTTTTTTAAAGCTTCTCTAGTGATTTTGATTTAGGATATAGTTTCTAAAAAGAAAACTTGTCTGAACACATTTTCTACTCCTGTTATCTTTCCAGAGTCTTCAGAAAGAACACCAAACAAGTCGGAAGGTTGCATCTGTCTTAAAACATAGTTTAAAAATCCCTATTTGAGGAGCAGGAAAGATGATTTATCAAAAAGCAAAATCAAAAAAGTTGTTACTGGACTAAAAAAAGCTACACGTACTTCCCCCAAGGGTACGTACATGTGCGTGCAGGCATGCACGTGCGCATTCATTAAGAGTTAGAAAAGAGTTTTACTGCCAGGTTTTGAATCTCGTGCCTCTGTATGGCAAACTGTTGGGTTACTTTTTCAGGGTCATTGCAGGAGAGGAGTACAAGGGATTACGGACATTTATCTGAGGGAGGGAAGCAAGAACGAGGAGAATGAATTGCTTTGCAGGCTCTGAGCTGTGAGTTGTAGGTGGAAAGTGAGAAGAAGAAATATTGATCGCTGGTGACTTCTCATTAGCGCAAAATTTATTTTCAAGGGATAGGTGTGTGTTGTGTTGCAGAGGACCGGTGGCAGCTCCCTTCTTTTAGAAGCTAAAAGGAAACTGGTACGGAGATGCTTTGTTTGTTTGGGGTTTTTGTTTTAATTTGGATTAGTCTTTTGGGCTAGATGGTGAGCACTTTGTGTTCACATTCAGACCAATTATGCCAGGTGCATATGACAGTAGTGACCTGAGCCGACAACCGGCACCTCGTCTGTGCCCGCTGCAGGCTGGGAATCGAGTGTAGAGGGTCGCTGTTGGAACTGGGGTAAATCTTGTTTAGATACAGGTCAAAATGCAGCAGCAGATAAACTCCTGTAAAAGCATACTTGTAAAAATCTCTAGTTGAGTATGGGGCTCTGAGGGGTTACATGAGAAGAGAGGCTTTTCCTTTTCTTACAAATCTGTATAGGTATGTAAATATGCAATGCCTGTATATTCTAGCGTTATATATATGTGTATAGAGGAATCGTATATCTACTATGTATAAATAATTAGTAGACATGTGCATAGAATACTGTTATATTTACATTTTTATAAACCTGAAATAATACTACTTTTCTTTAGTATGAGGTTATTTACCAAGGTTTTGTAGTAACTCATTAATAAACACCTTTCAGTACTGTACATGTGGCACTGTTGGTAACGTCGCTCCAGAAACTTGCTCTGCTTGTGAACGTCACGTATATCTGTGGGTTGAAAACAGCTGTACGCTTTTGTATTTTTTATATATTTTTAATAATAACTGCAGATGCAGCGTTAGCAAGCCAGTAGAACTGACAGCTTTGGTTGAGAGCCTGCATGAGCAGCGCCGGCTTTCTGCATCCGCGTGCTCCCCTGCCGGCTTTCCTCCGGCAGCTCCGGGACCTTTCCCAATCCCAGTCTCCCAGCAGCTCGGGCAGGTAGAGAATGGGGTGGCTGCGTTGTGCTGAGGAGCTGGACTGATGCCAGCAGCTCTCTCCCAGTGGGGGTTATTAATTGTTCTTGCATAGCAAAGGATCCTGGCTGCTGCTCAGCTGGGTTGCTTTTGGATCGGGAAGGTGAAGCTTAATCTGTCATTCCTCTTCTCTTTGTTCTCATAAAGGAGGTGTCTTTAAATTTTTTTTCTTTTTTAACTGACATTGTGCTGCAACAGTCAATATCTAGAAAGCTCTCTCCTTGGTTTCTAGCCGTGAGGAACCCTGCCGTGACTTGTACTGATTTCTTGCAGATTGTGTGAGAAATTAAACTCTAAAAGAAATCCAGATCGTAAAATCAATAGCATGTAGTTTGTGCACCACGACTCCTCCTGCCAGATCGGGTGTGTTCCACTGCAGTTTGACACGAGGTCGATCGATAGCCATTATTGTCCTGCTACAGGCTTGATCAAAGCCCCTCTGCCAAGCCGAAAGCAAAGGTCCCTACTTCTTCTCTTTGAGCCATCAGTTTGCAGGTCTGATCTCCGCTGTTTCCAGAGGTTTGTATTTTCTGCTGTTACAGTTCATGAAACTGCCTCATGACATTTGAGTGTATTGGGACACGGGTGAGGAATCTGAGGATTTCCCTGCTTGCTGTGGGACATTCACCGACATGCTCTGCAGGTGCTTGGTTGGGACTCCAAAACTCCGACACCCAGCAGCAGCCCGCTGTCAAATATTCCAGTTGTGTGCATTTGCTCCAGGCTTCAGGTTAGCAAAGGGGTCCTGCGTTCAGGTCACGTAACTGGCCGTCACTTCTTTTTAGTCCCTGGAAGTGCCTCTCTGTCAGCTGGGGAAGGTCTGGCCCCAGGGTCCCTTGTGCCGGTGGGTCCCCATGCAGGAGGTCGGGGTAACAGTGCTCAGGGGGAGAGAGGAGAGAGCGTGGCGCTTCTGGGTGTTGCAGAACTGGGAACACATTCCAGTATCCTGCGTAGGAGACCACAGTATTCTCGAAGCTTTTTTGTTCTGGATGCTATTTGAAAGGAGGCGATTTGAAATACTTGAGCTCGTTATTAATGAGTAAGCTCCAACAACCTTCAGAGCAGAGCTTTCTACCTCTGTTACTAGCTGCATCTTTGAGTGGCTTACCCGCCTTTCTGCCATGTGTTCCTGGGTGCACTGGTCGACCGCTGAGCTGCCTCTTCCACTGTCCTGCAATGTGAAAGTAGCACCAGATATTCCTTTGTGCATTTCTGTGTATATGGCTTTCGTAGTTGGGGTTTTCAAAGCACTGATACCCGGTGTTTTCAGTTTGTTCTCTGAGGGGATATTTTATTTGCATCTATGTTTTTAGCTATCCTGTGATAACTTGTTGAATATTAAAAAATAAAAATATTTTGCTTCTATTGGGACATTTGTATACTCGCAACTATATTTCTGTAAACAGCTGCAGTCAAGAATAAAACAATGAAAGTTTTCATTTTGCAGTGTAAAGTCTTGTTGTGGTTGTTTCGAGGGCATCTTCTGTCTGCCGGGAGAAGGTGCCATTCTTCAGTGCGGAATCAACCCCTCTGGGAACTGCGTGGCACTCGGGTCAGGAAATACGGGGAAGGCAGGAGCCTGGGCCGAGCTGTCCCATGGCTGTGTAGGTCTGTCCTGCTGGAGCTGTTGCATAAGAAAAGGCACTGTCTCATGCCTGCGCTTTTAAAAAACACTGCAATGTTTCTTTCTGATGGCGTTAAGTCCAGAGTAACCTTGGTGGTGCGCCACCCAAACCCCAGCCTGCAAATTACAGAGCGTTCAAGGAAATTGTTTTCATAGTCCGCCCGAAGCAGGGTTCTGTCGCTGAGGGACCTGGGGGGGGATGCAGGAGTCTCCCCCCAAGATGGTCTGGGGCCTGTTCTGCCTGAGGGAGGTAGTGCCCGAAGTTCTAGGCCAAGATGTTGGGAGTTACTGCCTTGCTAGCAGAACTTCTGTGCATGTTAGTGCAGTCCCCTTTTGTCTGTTTCTTTGGTGTATTTATGTTAATGTGTTACAAATGATGTAAAAAGTGGGGTTGCTGAGGCTCAGGTGCCTGCCCCCCGTCCTGCTGACCTCCTGTGGGGATGTAACCTCCGGCAGGACCATGGGGCCGACAGCCAGGATCAGCAGTGTTTGAAAAATTACAACAGGGTTAAGAAGAAAGAAACTGCAGTTACCCCGAGAGCTGGACAGCGTGCTTTACTCTGAAAGGTTTATCC